TCCTTAAATAATCTTAACTTTAATGTGCACTGAGGTATTGGAAATTGAATATTCATGAATTTGTCGGTGCTTGGTATGATCTCATGTCAACATCGAATTTAATGCTGGCGCAGTTGCTTTCATTACGCTGTGTGCCCTAAATCTACGTGCAGTCATTGCCCTTAATCGAGCTCTTTCTTCTGGAGTTATTTTGGGAATAAATAGCCCGGTTGTTTACAAGATTTTGTGTTTCGTTTTAATCGTTTTTATTTTGGCATTTGTACAAAAGCACATTTTAATTTCACGATCACTCCCTCTGATGAAATTGCGTACTTTGTTCCTAATGAACCATGCTTTCCAGGAGCAGTGAACATTTTGTTGGCCAGTCTTAGCCAAATTCGTACCACGTCTTTGAACACTGGAACAGTGTATCAAAATTTGAAAAGTTTATTTACGATAACAAAAGTAGGTCTTATATTTTTTTTTAGAATTTTTCTCTGTTTCCTGGTCACATTGATAATTTGTATTCAATTGCCAGCAAAAACTACAAGTATTGCTAGGATATTGCAGCCTGGTCCTGCTTGTCCGTCTAAGATGCAGACAGTAATCAGGCATTTTTGGAATGTTTTCTATTATTCGTCTGATTCGTCGACGACCATCTTTGAAGTGCCTGAGTTGCAACTCCTGTCCTTCCTCTATGGGAACAACTATAAGAAATTACAATGAATGTGAATGTCCATGGAGGAAGGAGGGGAATGTCTGATTCTTTCAGGACTCGAAATGGGCGATCATAAAAGTTGACTGATTTTTTTCAATGTGATTAGCAATCAGTAAGGTGATTTATGTCTCGGTTGTTTATAACTATGCATATTTTACCCACCAGCTGAGCCTGCATAAAGATAGCCATGTTGTGTTTAGACGTCCTATGGGGGAAATTAAACGAGCCAAACAAGTCTGACCTCGTTATAGCTGGACCGTCACAGTGACAACAGACCTGAAGTTGGAGTAGACTAAACCTGCAGGCTTTCTCTGCAGCTTCCTTGCCGAGCTGACACTGACCGATTGCCTGCGGTACGGCGTCTGACCCATCTCCTCCAGCTCCGCTTTGGAGAGGCCCGGTTCTTTAAAGCTCGGTTCCACGGCTCGCTCTCATTTTCGAGCTCGACGACCGTGACTGCCCCGCGGTGACAAGAATGGGCATTGCCTCGCGCTTGCAAATTCTTGTTCAAAACAATTTTATTTGAATTCACTCAAACCTCGAGCTGTTGGAAAAGCAAACGTTATTTGGATTATTTTACAAATGTGATAATGGAAAATGTCTCTTGAAATGCCAAAATATAGTGTTCCGCATCCTTCATCCAGATATCTTCCTTGAAAACTATATTTCAAAAGTATTAAGCTGATGAAAATCTGCTACAATTACTAATGTAGGATTTAAATTTGCAAAATTCCTTTAAGAATACTGAGACTTTATCTTTTATGGCCCATACAGAGGAAGTCAAAGGTGGTACCCAGATGTGGAATTCTTTTCCTTTTTCTCTTACTTATACAATCAACAACCTTTCTCTTATACTAGAAAAATATATACCGATATATTGGCTTGGAAAAATCAGGTGATGTTCTGACGGTTCTTCTGGTATGTGTGGCATGTCTGAATCACGTGTAACACAAAAGACACTAAAAAAAAAGTGTCTCAAAATCCTGCAAACACCTGTGTTCTTATATTCATTGAGGTAGATATATATTTTTGGGAAATACCTGTTGAAGAAAACGTTTTGCTGACAACTTTTCATTTCCTGAGGGCATGTTTGTGGAGACCAAGCCTAGGCCGCTTATTTTGGCCTAATTAAAATTTACCCCAGGCTAAGTTCTGGTATGGGCCCACTACTGCCATGATATTGTATAACATGCTTTACTGCCAACTTTGGCAAAATCTTCAATATTTTCAAAGAACTGAAAAACAACTATACCTTGTTTTCATTTCAAATGAAACAACTTTTTAGATTTTGTTTGTAATGTCGTAACACATATATAACATCCCTTATGAAAACAACGTGAACGGAGTGCGGCATAGAGTCCTTTAAGAGTGGCACAAAAGTCACTGCACAGGTGTCCTAACGCCAGGACTGTCACAATGTCACTGTCTACCGTGGCATCACAGATAACGTGGAGAGAGAGAAAAAAATCCAAAACAAAACAAGCAAAAAACAAGACAGCTTGAAGGCTAACAACACAGGAAAGTTGCCATTTTAATTCTAAATAGTGATTTTCCAAATTTATGTGTTGATGATAGTCATCGTTGGTATCAATCAAAAAGCTCTTGAGGGCGTGTTTATTTTCTCTGGTCATTGAATGTCGGCAGCTAAACGTAACACCCGACCCCCATTACCGACAATTTTACAGTCAGAATAGATCATGTAGATAGATGTGTAGAAGAAGTGGGTGGTACTGAAAGGTTCGTGGGAAGGCAGACTGGTTATCGAATAATTGGGTGGAATTGACCTCCTGGCATTGTTGATTGTGTCTTTCAGTCTACGCTGGTTCAGCTTTGCCAGTACAACTCATACGACGAGTTCAAAGTACACACGTACAAGTACACCTAAATTAGTCACAGTCATGCAATCTGGGCCTTGGGTAGCCCAGGGAGTCGACCGTACTGCATGAAGACTGGCGTCCAATCTAAGCTAGGCCTTGGGGGGAACTTGAACTGTGAGTGTTAGAGTGTCAAAGTTGAACTTGAATTCAAACTTCATTAGCACGAGCCGAGTGGAAACCTTTGTACAGGTTGAAAAAGTAGGGCCCAGTCGTTGGTGCTGCAGTACAGCTAGCTGTGTTGTTTGATACCCTAATTCTGCAGAATGAGGACTCCTCTGGCACTAGATGCAGCAGGTGGCGACTCGGAACCGAGTAAATTATCCAGTGCTGTGCTAGATATTGAACGGATTGAGCACAACTTGTACAGGCAGGCTTTTCTTATTTTTATTCGATTTAGCCTATTCACTTTTTCCACAAAATAGTATTGCACAGAAATAAAGAAAATAAACCTCAAAGATTCCCAAGAGTGAAAATAGTAGGGATAGGGCCTAATGCCAAAAAGTCAAACAAACTTATTTCCATTGCGGTCCCAACTGATGAAAAATTAACCAAAATAAGTACGATAAAATGCCGGTAGATAAAAAAAATCAATCCAAAAATTAAAAAGGCCTTAAAAAATACAACAATCAACATACAATATCAGAAAACTGCTCAACAAACCCTGAAAATTGTGCTATGTTTTATATAGCCACAACTTGTACAAATAATCAAAGTTTGTGGTAAGCCCTGTCCTTTACAAATACATAAAAAACCCAGCCCCAGCTTATAATGTGACAAACTTCTACATTGTATGTTTCAAGCTGATGCAATAGTAGATGGTGATGTTGGCATGGCAGGGTTCAGTTAAGGTAGACTTCCTGGAATTTGGGATTTTTTTATGTTTGATTTTGTGCAGTAAGACTGTTCTGTTTGTACCTCTAAGCTACAACAAAGGTTGTAATTTGATTTCTCAAGTAAGAATAGAACATTATTGTCTACCCTAATGTGGCATGGCCCCTAATGTGGAGCACTTTGATTTTTCCGCCTCTGGTGCCTTGCCAGAGCAATATTTCTTACCTCAAATTTCATTATAAGTGAAATTTCATCTAAATCCCAATATTCTAGTTCAAAATTCTCAACTTTACTCGCCCACTACAAAGTTTTGATCAAATTGTATTTTGGCTCAATTTCCAGTTTTTGTCTGAAGTACAAAATGAATTCTTTTGAAATGCCCCCCCCAAAATAAATTTCTAACATACTTATGGTTAGGTTTGTAAGTGGAGATAATTATAATTTATCAGAATTTATCAACTTAAAGAAGTTTCCTAGATGTTTAGGTGAGATTTACTGAGATTTTTCAAGTGCCCCTGGTCAGGGAACTTACAGCTGAATTCTTGCCCTATTTCCAGATGTCGCCGTTTTTTAATTGTGGATAAAATTTCATGATAATGAAATTGTTCACAAAAGTTCAAAAGCATGTATTATGAAGGTTATAGTATCAACATTTAACCAACTAAATTTAAATGATTTCAAGAGGAGGTTTAGCAGTGCTGAATGAGGCAAGTCAGGTGAAAATCGAAGTGCGCCACTATACCTTTTGAAAGAAGCTAATTAAAGGCTAAACCAACAAAGCTGGACCAGAAACAACAAATCAACAAACAGAAAGGAAGAAAACAGAGAATAAGGCAAAGCAAGAGAAAAAAACAGAACAATGAAACAAACAAGTTTGAAATCCAAAGTTTTCAGTGAATTGGTTCAAATGGGAAATTGGTTCTGCAGGAAGGACTCCGCATTGGACCATCTCAATTTTCAAATGCTGTAAATGCAGTGAGGAAAAAAGGGGCTCAGTGCCAACCAGTGGCTTAAATGTGTGCCGGGAATGGGGGATGAGGGAAAGGGGGATGGTCTATTGAATCATTCCCCCCCCTTTTTGTGGTGAGCAAAAAATTTAAGCAGATTGTGAAGATTTTTTCAGACTTCCAACAATTTAACTGCATTCAATATTACTCAAAAAGGGAAAATGCTTGAAAACAGGCATAAATATGCCGTGCTGAATACGTATTACAAATGTACATTAATATCATGAACATCAAGCTCTATATAGAGTCATATGGTGTCCATCCCTTTCCCCTTTTTCAAATGGTCATGGCCGGGCAAGTCATCCCCCCCCCAAAAAAAGTAGGGGGATATATACCCCCATCCCCCTTTGGATTTACACCCATGGTGCCGATGGAGAATAGGTTGAAAAGTTTGGTAAACAAGTTGGTTCGTAATCTTAAAAATTGTGATGGTACATTGTGGAATTCTTTTTCTTTAATAATGATTCTGCTATCTAATACACTAGTCGTAGCATTCTATTTGGTGTGGTGTCTGAGAAAAAATATGAAGTTGTTGAAAATTAAACAAAAAAATAAAAAAAAAATAAAAAATGAATGTGCCAATTTCAGAGCCTCAGAGCATTGGAGAGAGTTCAGAGCCAAGCAGCTGTATGGAGGGCTGGTCGTCTGTCAGGCCATGGTAGCCGCTAGCAAAACAGTCCAGCCAGAGCTTCACATCAACTCACTACACTGCTACTTCATACGCAAAGGTTCGCTCATAGCTCTTCAGTTTCTACCAACAAACAAATGAGTTAAGGAGCAATGGCTTAACTAGGGTGAAAGTTGAAGGGCCTACCAAGGGATGCACACTTTTTTTGGGGGGGGGAGGGGATATCAAAAGCCTATGAACTGCAGCTTGTAAACATTTTTTGTGTACCTTTCAAAAATTTCAAATGGGGGACAGAGCGCATGGACTTTTGCATTGGAAGGAGGGGGGAGAATCGTGCCCCCATAGGGAGGACTTGACAGACTAACTGACCAAACTAGCAACAGAAACAAAAGAAACAAACAAAAAAAACCCCAAGAAACAAACTAAAAAAGATACACTCAGCCTAATAAGGCGTCCTCCTCTTTTACCATCCTTTTCATCAAGGACAAAACATCCCTCTTTCCTCACAAAGGCGTAAGGGTGGTGGCAGATCAACCTTGTTCCCAAGTTAATGAAAGCAGTCCTGGGCTGTAAAACTCTCCCTCCCCCCGTGCATGTTTGGAACAATTGTGAAAAGGTTGAAATGGCTGACCCCTGAGTAAGGGACTACAGAGGTTTGTAGTTTAACCCTTACCCTCCTCAATCCTTCACCTGTTGGAGGATTGAGGAAGGTTAGGGTTAAACTTCAATTTTCCCAGTTCCAACAGCACAAATGTGTAGTTCTTGGATGACAAATGATGTAAAAAAAAACATGTTTTTTTATACTGTGTTGGTGAAAGAAAGCTCATGGATTTACCCTAATGCAGTGGGATTTGATTGAAGCAAAGTGTGGATTTGCTGGCTGTAACTATCATTGTAACAGTTTTCCTCTGATGTCCCTCAGGGAACCCAGAAATCCCGGTTGTGTACCAGGTGGAGAGCCTTCGCGACGGCCGGAGCTTCTCCACACGAACCGTCCACGCCATACAGAATGGAAAGACCATCCTGATGATGATAGTGTCCTTTCACGTCAAGGAGGAGTCTCCTTACAATCACCAGGCCACCATGCCAGAGGTTCCCTCTCCAGAGAATCTGCTGAGTGTTGATGATCTTATTGAGAAATATTTGAGGTAAAAACAAAGGGGAACAGGAACCAGGAGACACTGTCATTCTTCAGAAGTCGTAGCTTTAGATGCAGATGACCTTTCCAAGGCTTGTACTTTGGAATCAAATGCTTAAAGAACTGATGATATTTGATGATATTAGGGACCAGTTTTATTTAATACATGTAGGTTCTTATAACCACATCATGCTGGATGATGTGTAAACATGATCTGGCGATCTGTATTCATAGACATGGCTGACAGACAGAAATGTCTAGCATATCTTGACCCACTACAACATTGCTGAAATTAGCACTGACATTCAATCTGATTACAAAACTAATTAACCCCGACCCCAAAGTGCAGTGACAGGTGCATGGAACCTTGCCACAGTAAGCAAGGTGAGTTCTGATGACCAAGTTAATGGCTGAAGGTGATATCAAAATTACAATATCACAGTCACTGCCCATTGTCACAATTTTTCAGCCATGCTTCTGATGAGGTAAAAACCAGGATTCGCAGTCTTGAAGGGTCTGGTGTCATGGTAGAGTACAGGCATGCCGATGTCGAGACGATCTTGACAAAAAACTCTCTACAGCCAAGGAGGTTGCTCTGGGTTCGGGTCAGGGGAACTTTAGGTAAATATCATAAGTACGTCTGCCAAAAATGTGTCATTCTTGATAACTGATTGTTTCAGTCCAAGTGCGCAAACATGAGTTAAACCTTATTCAACTGAATACACGTAGATGGAAAATTTTTATTCATTCATTGTAGTTTATTTCACAAAAAATTTCAAACAGAAAGTCACATGACTAAAAACGTTTTACAATGAAAGTTGCCTTGAGCAGTATGAAGAAAAATTAAAAAATTGCAATAAAAACATATTTAAAAATTTTGATATTGATATAAAATAAACCATTTGAAAAATGCCGATGAGTTTACAAATGTGAAGCTATTGTAGAATAGCTGAAATCAAGGACTAACACTTGTTATATACATTATTATACATACACAAGTGTGATCGCAAGTGTGTCTCTACATAGGTGGGGATGAGAACATTCACCGTTGCGCTGCAGCCTACGTATCCGATGCCTTCCTGGCCTGGACAGCGTACATGCCACACAGTCACATCCAACTGGGCCAGATTACCTCCTTGGACCACTCCATTTGGTTTCATGCGCCCTTCCGTGCCGACGAATGGATGCTGTACGAGATGGAGAGCCCCAGGACCTGTGAGTATAGTGTAATATGAATCAGACCGCACAACTCTTTCCGTACCTATAAACTCACCTGCAGCCGTAGGTTGTTGCTTACCTGTTTTTGCTTTTGTGGTGAAGTCAAGGTACGACAAATTTTCTGGGATCCTCTGTCTTTTGGGACAGACCCTTAAAACCTAATACAAACTCATCGAGGGTTCCACCGGCCCAAGGCAGATTTTAATGAGCGTTTTGGTATGCACAGGGGATACTAAGGTTGTATGAGGTTTTGCCCTTGCCCGCTGAGTTTACTGGGATCACTTGAAAGTGTGTACCGCGAGCAATCATTTATGTTAATTTGCTTTTGTGTTGGGGATGCTGATTTTACACTAGGTTCTGCCCTCATGCTGATGTATATCTATACTATGTACTCTCATTGTGGTCTGAGTTGCCACAAAACTCACCAGCATACTTGGGTGGGAGTCATGCTAAGAGGTCTGCACGGGTAAGTGGGAGGTTGTGGGTTCAAATGCTACTCAAGCAAATTTGTGAGTTTTCCTGCAGTGTGAATACATACATTGGCATGGAAGATAAATTTCAGTATAATTTGTACTGAATTGGAAGAATGCTTTGGTCCCAAAATATTTCTTAAGATTGACCACTTGACTCTTTATCAGTGTTGATTAAATCTTGCATGAAAGTAAGAGGGAAAACGTTAGCTGTTCAACAAGTTGAATCCATAATGGAAAAAGAAGATTAGTCGATTGACAAATAATCAATACTTGCTGGCCAAGTATGCATACACGCCAAGACTGAAAAATGGAGATACATGTCGGACAGGCCAACCCTACACTGGGATGGAGTTCCTGAAATGATATCTTCTTTTCTGCCAACAGGTGCATCCCGCGGCATGAGCTTTGGCCGTCTTTGGCGACGTGATGGGACGCTGGTCGCTTCCATCTCACAAGAGTGCCTCATGAGACCCAAGATATGAAAATTATAGAGAGAAATGAATGAAGAATTAATCCAAATCAGTGTTTTACAAAATTCGTTGTGGTCTTTGTTTCTGAAATACATGAATTATAAATGAATGAAGCCAAAGAAAGATTGCAGTTAGTAAGTGTAGCAGAAAAATTTCAAAATGAAACAGTTACTGTATTTAAATAGAAAATATGTCAGCATTTCTCTACCAAGGGCAGTTGTAATGTATGTTTGGCTCTGGATGCATTCCCGTAGAATTGAAAATACCATGTTTGTCTTTTTAGTTTGTCATTATAAGCACAAATTAAGGATTGTCATTTTTTAGATAATGCTCAAGTTGATTTTGGTGACAACATATATGAAATCTATCAACAGTCAAAATCATCAATGCCTTGAAATCGGACATTGTTTTAAAGTATGAAACTTCATGTTTTTTAATAGCACCGTTTTGATAATACAAGGATCCCAACATATATTTATGCTACTGAGTAAGTGGAATGCAGAATTTTGGACTTTATCGAGCATCCTGCATCAAGGCACCTGGTTTAGTGTTAGCTTCCTTGAAAACAATTTATAATTGTCTACTACAAAGCAGCTACTCCGAAATGCACTGAACAGAAATACAGAGCTTAAGTTCAAATTATGAAGCTTGCATAGATAAAAAGCCTAGTTTGACTTTATCTTATAGTCATTGCGTTGTTACAGTTCTGTTGAAAGCATAATTGAAAACATATAATCAGCAAATTAAGACAGCTGAAGTTTTCCCAGAGCTGTTCTTCACATTGTTTTCATAGCGTGTCCTTTGGTGTCTCAAAGTTTTGCCTTAATGTGCACACATAGATTACGCACGCGGTACTCTGTGCAGACAATAAGCAAACAAGATTTGCACGAGAGTAGATATCTTATTAAATGACCTCCATGAAGTTTATATCCTGCACAGGCTGCAGTGTTGTAACCGAGTCATTTTTTCCAAGTTAAGTCAAGTCCCAAGTCAAATTTTATCAAGTCAAGTCTCAAGTCATTTTTTCCAAGTCAAGTCAAGTCTCGAGTCAATTTTTCTAAATAATGTACATCAAATCTAAAGTGATACCAGTTTATAATTTCTTCGTTTTGTTCAGTACTTTATTGGTAGTGTCTTTCACTCTTCGGACTGGCTGTCCTTAAATGATAATGACATGGCTTGCCTGTCATAGTGTTGGTTTGTTGGTTGAACATGCACAATATTCACAATTTTTGAACCCAAAAATCACCACTTTCAAAGTAGACATGGTGTTCAGTCGCCATGTGTTGGGCAAGGAACAAAACTGGTTCCTGTCGTCATCGTTGTCTATATCTACGTGCGTGCGGGAACCAGTTCTAATAATAATGTTTGGTGCGCGTGCGCATGATCGCAGTGCGAGCTAGCTAGCGAGAAGAGAAATCTTGCTACTGGCATCTAACCAGTGAATTATTTTTTCAAAAAGTAATCCCCCCCCCAAAAAAAAATTAGGGCTTTTCTATTCAAATACATTGTTGAACATATAATAGAATCTGACATAAGAGATTGTGAATTCACCGTTCCGGGTTGGCACCTGGATTGGTGAAGGTACACGTTGTCGTTTCGCAGTCTTCGCACGCCTAGCTAGAGGTAAACCACTCAACAGTATACAGTTTCTTAAAACGGATGTAATCAGACTACTCATAGGCCTATGCCACGGGCCCACACAAACTTCATACAGCTCGCACGCGCCGTGCATGACGTGTGCATGACGTTACATGATGTGCGGTGGTGCCAGTGGAGGAACGCAACGCGACGCCACGCGTGGTTCTTTTGAGTTTGTATTTTCATTTATTTTAAGAAAGGATTTAATGTCAACCAGTCATTTTTTTTCAAGTCAAGTCAAGTCTCGAGTCTTTTATTTTCAAGTCAAGTCAAGTCTCAAGTCATTTTTCCCCAAGTCAAGTCAAGTCTCGAGTCTAAATAGCGACTCACGTCCTACTCGAGTCCGAGTCAGCGACTCGAGTCAACAACACTGATATCCTGTGTTTCGTTTTGCACACCATCTCATAGCTGGTATCTCAATATTTAATTAATATTCTTGTTTTCTCTAATAAATTATATCATTGGAGAAAAAGTAGCATTCTTGGCTTGGGTGTTATTGCATGTTATTCCATGGAAGCTAGTTTGATTTTCGTATTGGACCTTTGACATGACAGCTCACAAAGTTTCAAAAGTGTGTAGGGTCAGTATGAAGCCAGTACTAAACAGTTTGAATTTAAATTCGGTTTTGGGTCATCCGTAGAAAATTGAAGAGAAACACTCAAGCAAATAAGAATCGAAAATTCGCGTTCAGTGATCATAGGAAGTTAAACAACTTTTGGGACTCCATTGTATGAAAACAGAAGTAGTTTATAAACGTGTGTTTTGAGTAGGCCTACTGTTCATTGTGAATAAGTTTCAAAGAAAAATTCAATTGAGTGCTGGATCTTTTAAAAATTGAAGTTTAAGAAATTTACAAGCCAAGTCTGTATCGTTCAGGTGGCTAATAGGTCACTGCAGGGAATGATTTCCTGCGTCCGTATATGGAACTCTCTCTCTACAGAAGATGCATGATGATGAAATGGCTATCCATGCTTTTAGTTCAGGACGTGTCATTCAATTCTGCAGCTCATTAAGGTAATCACGTAACTACCGCCCTAGGAAATCTAAATTTATCTTCACTACACACAAGTGAATTGACGAGGGTCGTTATTTATTTAAGCGCCTTAATTAACGAAAAGGGGAAATTCGAAAGTGACATTTTACTTGAACAGCACACGCCCTTTTCTACACAAATTTGAAGAATTGTCATCGAGGTGGTGGAGGGAGTGGGCATGGTTGCGGTTGCGGATAGGGAGGAAATTAAAGAAATAACGGGGGCTTGAGGAAGTCCAAAAAGGAGTGTACGGCGCTTCCATCTGCATGTGATATCGGGCCCTTGTCATACCTTTCACTTCCGAGTCTCTCTTTTCAAATTCGATAATCACTGCTCTCACCTCGCGTCATGAACGGAGTTTAATTTACTGGGATTTGACTGAACTGCATTTATGCATGTTGATTTACTTCTAAGCATCTGTGGTACACACTCCACTCGCAGAACTTTGGGGAATGGGATTCGTGGTCCGCCGTGCTCCCACCGTGTACACGATCAAAAAGAATCCTTAATCAATCAGAGAAAAACATTTATATAAAAATATCCCCAGAATCCTACAGTTCATAAAAAATCTGTCTACGTAAAGTTTAAAAACAAATTAACATGTGTTATTCCTCCATAGTTATACGAATGGCAAGAAAAATTACTAAGGTGAATGGCAAAGAAAAATTACTTGGGTGAAGAATTTAATAAGAGAAACATAATGTTAAAGGTACATGGGAGCTTATTAATTCGTTGCTTGGTAAAAGGAACGTTAAACAAAATCCGTCCTTTTATATGCAAAATGATGCTAAAATTGATTTTGACATTGATATTGCTAACTTTTTCAATGATTATTTCATTAACATTGGTAAGAAAATAGCAAGTGAACTTCCTCAATCAAGCAGTTCATTTGAACACTTTCTTGATAAAAGATGGTCACATTCTTTATTTTCCGCTCCTGTTACCGAAGCAGATGTACCACTTATTATTTCAAAACCTACCCCATTAGTCTGAATAATGAAAATCAGATCATGTAATCATGCCAATCTACTTCCATTCTTTAAAGGTCTGGTCTCAACATCTAGCACATCTGTCTTAACTGTTGTCTATCCTGCCAGTGTATCCTACTGTGTTGTCTCGTGCCTTTTGTCTTATGTTTTTTTGTCCAGGCTGAACCATTGTTCGTGTGGTGTAAATAAGGAAAGCCAAAAGCACATGCTTCTTTTTCCCCTCTGCATGTTGGTTATAATTTAGACTATGTACAATTATCAAACTAAATACACCATTTCCCATTAATTGTTGTAACAAATTTCACTATGCATGTATGATTTTGATGTACTTGGGATTCCTAAAAAACTAGGCTCGATGATATGTGTCCTTCCTCCATGATTACATTGTGATGCGTGGAAATTAATCCGTAGCCCATGGAAATTACACCGTTACGTTCTGCATGCTCAGCTATAGCCGTAGATGAAATAATTTCGTTGCAGCAGGAGGGTGTCGCGCAATTTTCAGAAATAATGAAGTATAATTTCATTTGGCACTAAGCTTCATATGAGGGTTGATTTTTTGAGTAGCATTTGACAGAATAGTTCCACCGGTTCCGCTGGGATGTTATTGGGGTGGAAAATAAAATTTGAGTCATTATGAGTAAGGATGTGATGTCCACAGTGCTTGTGGCTAGGGAGCGATAATGAATTGGCATCCCATCCAGAGGAAAATAGAAAACATTCTCAGTGGTTGCATGATAAGGAAATGAACACGCACCTGACAACTCAATTGGCTCGGGACCAGCCTCATGAGTAATGATACGCCTTGAGCGCTGGTGGGCTATGGTTACAGGGAACACGTGCTTTATTTGGTACTTCGAGAGGTTACATAACGTTGGCATCGATGTAACTTCATTTTTCATCGGTGTCTTTCTTCATGGGTCTTTCGCCATCGCACGTTTGAGATCATCGCTCTTTCTTCATCGATCAAAAGAGATCAATGTAGGGGAACGATCGATCGATGTAGAAGAATGATTGATCGATGTAGGGGAACGATCGATTGATATTGAAGAACGATCGATGTGTTGCCTCCAATTTTTTTTGGCGCGTTCCGTAGAACGTCTGCTCCGTGGGAGCGGAGCGAACGTCGGACCGCACAGTTCTGGGGGTACTCACCGTGAGTTTGGGGGTTAGGTGGCGCGCAGGCAGGGTGAATTCGTGCACAAAACCAAAGCATTCACTCATTTCTGTGCAGGCGCTTGTGCTTCTGCCGTGATAGTTGTGGGCCATTGTAGTTACCCCCCCTCTTAAAAATGGAACGACCCTGTAATGAAAAGGCACCTGTGAGTGACCGTGACCGCAACAATACAAAATGGCATCCACCACGACGACTAACATGTACTATTAGCCAAAAGGGATAGTCTTTGGCCATTCCAGTGTGCTAAAAAGAGTCAAATCTGAGCTTTGAATATCCTTCCTAAAAAGAAAATATCTGATATGGTAAATGGTACTACATTTCACCTATTTTGTTTTACTAGCGTCACATCATCAACATCACCATTATTCCGAGGAAGTTGTCCGTTATGGTTCAGTGTCACATATCATGAAACTCAAGTCACCTTATACACATAAAAAATCCTTGGAGATCTGGAGACCTGATGATTGAAGACCAAAGTGAATAGGTAAACATTGAAATATCTTGCCTGCAATTTGTTTTATTATACACGTGACGGTCTATTTATATAACTCCGTTGCTCAGCGCCCTCGCTTGACAGTTTGGCTCAGACTCTATTCCTTCCTCCATGGTTCATATAAGTACATGTACATGTATATAGCCATAAGCTGGTGGTGAGTCATTCACCCTAGAGCCAACAAGCACTGTACATGTTCAACTTAAGTAGTTGATGCTTTCTTCAGGTTTCCATGTGCTACTGCAATGCTCGTTGACTGGGGGGAAGGTAAGTGTACTAAACATAATGGACGAGTTCGGGCGGCCCATTACGGGTTTCTTGTTCTCGCGCTCGAACAGGCGGCGGGAACACGAGTCAAGAACACTGTTCTCGGAACAAGATCACACACCACCTCCTCGTCAGGGTTTCACAGGAACACATGGAAAATCTCGTGAGATTTTGATTTTTGAACAGCTGCAAAAAGTAGAGATGGCTTCTAAAGCCATAGACAATGGGAAGTTTTGCAAAATTAACATTAATGATTTTCCGTATAACACAGAAATGAATGTTCCTGTTTATAAAGAAAAGAATTCAGCCCATCCAAACATCGACTCTCGAATAACGTAGCCTACTTGAACGCCGCCATGTTGCATGTTTCTTGTCACTAACTACCATCAGTAACCGGCGGTTGTTTGTTCCCGGCGTTCGAGCGACCGACCCACGAACAACAAATCGAGCTGTTCGTGAACATATGAGAACAAGCCTCCCGAACTCAGCCATTCTGATGATGTAGTGTTCCTCTTATAATGTATAATGTTTTCAATTAAAGGTATTAATGGTTTTCTTTAGGCCAACTTTATTGTCTTGAGTTATCTATGAATTCCCTGGTGACTTCAGATTAACTCTTCCAGTCATTTGATAGTTAACAGTGAACTAGGGAAACCAAGAAATATAGTTATTGTCTTTCATGGCATTGAAAGATGAACAGTGTATATGGGTAGTAGAAAGATGAGTAGCTTGTATAACATTTGTATGAGCTCTGTGTTTGTTGCATTTCTTATCAATGAAGTACTTTTAGAACAATCCACCTTGATTTGTGAGGAGGCAAAGCTTGAGCCACTTGGAGAGTGTCAGAATCAGTTTAGTTTCTTGTTATATTGATTCATTTTTTCCTTTAGAGACAGTAAGGATAATGTGCATATATGTAGTTTAGTGAACTCAGTGTGGATTTATTCATGTACCATGTGTTAGGTGCACTATATATGTCTGGCCATGGTAAAGTGAAGTAGTTCCTTAATCCTCAAGTTGCCCCATATTCATTGAAGTGTAAACGGTCTTGCCTACCCTGCTGTGCACAGCTAGGGATCAGCCAGCCAGTTTTATTCCCCAGTATTGGGAAGCCTATTGTTCGTGTTTAGTTAATTAAGCACAGTCGGAAGACTTCGTGGTAGATTACTAGACTGGCAGACCAGTCACTCTGCAGTTGTTTATGGTGCACTACTTCATTATCACCAGAGTGCAGGTTAAAGTTATTGCTATCACTCATATTGTTTTAGTGATCTTTGTGACATTGCAAGTGGTATATTTATTGTCCATTGCTTATGTAATCGATGCACTTATTTATTGTTTCAAGAGAGTTCTTGATGGATTCCTGGGTTATAATGGTAGAAGGATTGATGCAAGTTTGCAGTTACCATTGAGGTCATTGCACTTGGTTAAATTATGCGCTGATGGTCGGGGCAGGTGGAAGCACATGTGTGCCCTTTAGGCCTACATGCGTCTTGTTCATTCTAAGTGAACTTCAGGTTTAGTTTGAGCTTTGTTTTAAATATTTCTTTGCGTGAATGGTACATCCTTTACCTTAGTATTTATGTAGCAATTTATTTGTTTATCATTTCAGGGTTTCTTTTGCACCATTAAAGATCTGGAAAGGAGAACCAAACATGTATATGTGTCTGGTGTCAACTTTCCCGTGTCACACATAATGTAATTTTCTCCTTCCATCAAACACATTATAAACAATTTAGTATAGCAGAGAGTGTACATGCCGCGTTTCCAGAGACGCATCAAGAGGTAATAATCACAGAGCATTGTAACCCTTTAATGGGAAGTTATAAATACAATTCTTTCAAAAGTAATAGTTTGCTCACCAAGAGCTTTAATTTGCTAAATGATCGGTCAGTTATGGAAAATGTGAGCCTGACGTGGGAGTAGAACAATTCGAAGATAGTTTACTCAAATTGCCGATAAGATTTCCATGATTTGGACATCTTCATCAAAGTGAAACTTCAAGCTTGATGCGTGTATTTCAAATCTGGTTCACCACTGCATTGCTCACATCAAGTACTTTGATATATAATTTGACAATATTTGACGCAAGAATGGAAAATTCCATGAATGTAAATTAAAATCAGTAAACTTCACCTGAACACTTCTAAGCACCCGTAAGAAGCCATAACTCCTGAAGGGTTGCATTGATTTTAATGGGGTTTGTAACATCGCATCTCTCTTATCAAGAGGTTTAATTCGGTTTATAATTTGTCCATGTTTGAAAAAGAAATCGACTAATATAGCTACACTATAGGCCTAGGACTCGAGTCGGTAGTAGGCCTAGTTGTAGTTCCGAAATCAGTACCCTCGATTTTGCCCTATTATACGGTACGTCCATTCTTGACCATCGGTAACGCCATAGTCTGCTAGTGAGGCGCGGAAAGGGTTTACCTCGTTTGCGAGAACCGCTGTCAGTGTGAATTTTGACAATGAAACTACAGAGCAGCGGGACAGAGATGAAACCGACGTCCCGGACTAATTTGTTCACAGCATTTAACTCAGACAAGTGAAACATACAGTGACCGAAACACGGAAAGAGTCAGCAGTGTAGGAGGATTACTCAGACTTACATTTACAAACGGCTATGCTAGAATGTTTAGCCGTTTTCTACTCACACAAGTTCCCGGTGTACCGAATGACTGCCCTATTTTATTCTATTGTCGGAAGGATAAACTGTTTAAAATAAAATAAATAATAATAATAATAATTGACATTTATAAAGCGACCAATCCATCAAGCTGCTCCCAGGCGCTGTACATCAGTATAAGTATAAATAAAGAAATACATAATTAAATGAATGAAGAAATAAATAAGAAATAAATAAAACCTATATGTACCAAAGTTAAAATCAATACTAAGAAACTAAAAATGCTTGTTTATAAAGGTGCGTCTTCAGCCCGGTCTTAAAACTCTCCACATTCCTAGACTCTCTAAGTTGAACTTCAAGCTGGTTCCAGAGACGGGGACCAGCTACAGAAAACATCCTCTCGCCAGCAGAAGACAGCCTAGTTTTAGGGAGAGTAAGCCTAGACGAGCCCAACGCAGGAACGGGTGAATCGACCGGGAATCCTAACATCAAGCAAATCACTTAAATAACTTGGAGCACAGTCGTGAAGACATTTAAATATCAGGAGACACACTTTAAAAATTACCCTGTATTTTACTGGCAACCAATGAAATTGCATCAGCGCAGGAGTAGCGTGGTCAAATTTCTTGCCATTGGTGAGTAGTCTTGCTGCAGCATACTGGACTCTGTGCAAAAGAGCAAGGACTGACGCCGATAGACCAATTAAAACAGAGTTACAATGGTTAAAGCGAGACGTATTAATGGTTAATGCGAGACGGAGTTAATACTCCGTGACTGACTGGCCCAAATAACGCTTAATTTTGCTTATATTGTACAGGTGATACATTGCAGTGCGAGAGACATTCTTGATGTGGGACTGCATATTCATTTTGTTGTAAAAAATCACACCCAGACTCTTTGACTTCAGAGAGTGCGGTAATATTGTGATTACCTATATTCACAACAGTCCGAGGAATTCTGCTCAACGACATATACGATCCAATGATAAGCAAATCTGTTTTATCATCATTTAGCTTCAAAAAATTAATCGCCATCCAACATCTGATGTCGTCACAGCATTTTTTAAAACTGAGAACTCCTCATTCCAGTTCTCGGCTCATTTCTACTGCAGACAGATTTGTTAAACTAACTTTGATGTAAAGGGGCCTTTCAACTCACCCTGAAATTTTCTTCACACACCGCGCCCGGCGACGGAAGATGCGTGATGGGCTTATATCGTTAAGTTAATCTTTGTGGGCACGTGCCCACCCAGCCCCCCCCCCCGGCTACGCCATTGACTCCAAGTTCAGTAGCTCATCCTGTCCAAACGACTGAGTATACCCCGAAAAAATGGAACGACCCTGTAGTGGGTCACGGATCACCGGTCACCCACCTCAACACAAAATGGCGTCCAGCGCAATGGTCAGTTGGTGATGCTGCAAAAAAGGATGCTGATCCGTCATTGGCCGTTGTGGTATGTTTCGAGTAACAATCACCCCCCCCCTTTAAAGTTTTGGCTGGGGGCTGCAAATTTTTTGGTGTTAAGCTACGCCCGTACATGTACACACATGGCCAGTAAGTGAGGTTCCAAAATCAGTGGTTCAGCCGCAATATTGCTTTATGCGTCCGTTCTCAATCTTAGGTCACACATCCGGGAACGTTTGCCAGTTAGATTAGAGCAATGAGGGGTTTCGCCGGATGGCCAGAGGCGCTGTGAATTCAGGTCAATGTGACTTCATGATGCACAGTTTTTTCAAGCTTGGCAATAGATCCACTACATCGGGAGGTTTTTCTGCAAAGTTATAGGTCTATTGTGGGCTTTTATTGGGGGGGGGGGGGGTAATAGTGACACGTGGGCCTAAACTTGCAGAAAACTTGTTACTCTCCAGTCCCCCATCATAGTTATTCTTTTGCGAATGTTTCTCTAACATATACATGTAAGAGGAAAGGTTTTAATCAAAATGTGCAAACGAATACCTACCTCAGTACCTCATCAATAGAGGAAGGTGTATCACAACTAAAGGACGGGGCATTTATGATCGTTGCACCAGATCATGAATTCAGCAAAGTAGGAAAATGATGTCAGCGTGCGCTTCACATTTCGACCTCTTCGCCATATCTGTGTGTACAGACACCGGTTTATGTTTACACATTAAGCAGCATGACTTATAAACCCTACATGAATTAGATAAGTCTGATACACTGCAAAAAGTTGGGTGTTGATGTTAACACCCCGGTGTTATCAGAGGACTACACCAACACTTTTCATTGGTGTTGAAATATTTGTGTTACTTTTAACACCCTCCAGTGCACTGTAACACTTACAGGTGTGTAAAGTAACGTCATTAGTGCTAAAGTAACACCCTATGGTGTGGTCATCTGATAACACCAACAAGTGTTGATTTTAACACCTGAGTTTTTGCAGTGTACCCAATGTCGTTAGTTTATTAAAGCACCGATCCAGTTCCAAAGTACAGGCCTTAGAAAGGTCATCTGTAGGCCTAAATAAAGCTACTGGTAGGACTTCTGCAGAATGACCGTGTCTCCTGGTTCCTGATCTTTTGTTTTTATCTCACGTATTTCTCAATAAAATATCGACACCCGGCGCTTGCCATTTCTCATACTATAGCGCCCGCAGCGCACCATTGGAATGAAGTTTTAATTCTAAAATCATTCCGCAGAATGAATTCCCTTACAATTCACAAGTCTATACTATTCGGTTTTTAGGTCCATGTCTCCTGCAGGCAGATTTGCTTAACGATTGAAATTTGCAGTATAAGAGCCTTTTGGAAGGTAGGCTTATACACACTGTGATTTTGTTGTGAGTCATCACAGCGTTCAACTTGAGGATTGACCTTTTTTTTTCAAGACGAATAAAGTTGAAACCAAAGATCGTATAGCGCCTACGCGGTGCAAAATGGAGAACTGTCCACTGAAACGCGGAATTTGCGGGCGCCAAGTACAAAAAATGCGGGGCGGCGCTCCTTGTACATGTATGTCTCGATCGCGAAGTACAATGTCGGCGAAGACGTGGGCAGCCATCAACTGCAAAAGCAGGTTCAAGAAAAGCTCGGAACTTTCCGAAGAACAAAGACAGGTGAGTAGTAATTTAAATAGTGAAAGGTGAAATTTACCAAAAACAAGGCATACAATCGTGCTGAGAATCAAGACATAAGTTAAGCTAGGCTGAGTCCCCAAATTAATGACGTTCATATTGTAATGAACCCCTTTGACTCGTGAATGCATGTAAAAGGCCTAGCCGCAGGTTTAACATCCTAGTTAACAGGCCTACGCTGCATGTATTTACTGGCACATTGGACAAACGATGAAAAATACACCACATTCTTTTAGAGTTTTATCAAGTTTTCTTTATTTCACAGACAGTATAAGCAGTTAAAATAACAAAAGCACTGAGCTAAATAGATATAGTTTGTAAAACAAACAGTTTGTCCCCAATTCATTCTGCCGAACTATACAGTTTGTAAAACAGTCACAATTTTTCCAAAATTCAGACTTGTTGCCCTAAAGAAAAAACCCTGAATTGTACTAAGTACTTGTTTCGTTAAGATTTCTCATTATAGATGCCAACGCTGGGTTCAAAACACCCGCTGGGAGGATCTTCTGAAGAGAACGCCACTGTGTCTCGACAAAAACTACCGCCTGTGTTCCAATCATTTTGAACCCAGTCAGTTTACCAATCTGGTGAAATGGAAAGCAGTGCCCACTTTGATGACACACATGAAGACACGACGAAGGTCGCAACCTCTCCTTGTTCAACTGAACATACGTACAAGCATTCAGAAGGCATAACAATATCAAACACAACAGAAAAAAAAATCAAACAACATTTATAACAGTCATTACGGACTTTTTAACCCGGCATTATTGCAATGTCACGTTTTGGTGTCTCATTTACAACTGTTACCATCATGTTTAGTCCTCATAAAAATGTGGTGGTTGTGTTAATGTTAACAATATCGTTGCATTTATAATTCCATGCATTGAGGTCTACATTAGATACATTTCGTGTGGGACTACACATCCAGATTTTTCAAGCTGATTTTTAGTTACCCACTCTCATGTCTCTACGGTATTAAATAGTTACACTTATTTATGTGTTATTTAAATATTCTCGTGTGCATAACCATTGTTTGCCAAGAAAAAAACAAAGAAAGATAGGCCTACACGCACGCCACAAAAGATCAGAAGGTGTTGAGGTTAAAAAAAGTTCAACGTGTCTGTCTTCATTTTTATATTAATACTGTGGCAACCAAACTTCATTTCCTAAAAATAAAATAGGAAATTATATGGTCACAAGAAATATTGTATTTTTTTAAAATTAAAAACCCAGCTGTTCTTTTTTCATCTCTTCCCACAAACTTAAACCTGCGGATATTCAAGACATCATACCGGTTCACAGGTGTCAAGAAGTATCAGAACTCCACTTTTTGAGGGCAATTAGTCAGTAGTTATGAAGAGTCTTGTAGTAAAACGTGCCGTGGGATTGCTTGGCCTAAGCCTACGCTAGTACAAGCTGCACGGCGGACACCAGTGTAACCAGTAACCACAGAACACACCCAAAACCCCCGATTTCATCTCCAACGCTTTGGAGATGAAACGGTTTTACGTTATAATGTTAAACATTTCTGTTTACGATAAATATAAGTTTCATTCTTATTCAGGGTAAATATTTATTTATCCTGAATATTGCTGCCCTCTTTTCGTGGATAGCGCTTCCCGCCCCCGTACCTCATGCATGCTCAATTTAAACAGCTTGCCAACCATGTGTCAGTTCTCCATCTTGCGCCGCCACGCGGCGCTCTACAATCTTTGGTTGAAACATCAATCAAGTTGAATTAACCGTTTTCATATCAGATGATTCCCTTAACTTCTAGTGATAGCAAAACTGTATAATATTTCTTCGAAATAACAAATGCGTCGGATTCCCAACAGGTGATGTTGACGGTGAACGTGAACACGAGCTGTCACAGTACAGTGCGAGGCGAGTGTGAAACGTTTCCACGGGTTCAGCAAGTGCATGTGGTATAAAGTTTCTTTGTGCCGAGACGCGATAGGTGAAACCCGAATTCGAAGAAGCAGTTTTGACTATGGGGACCCCTGTGGCAGATATGGGTGACGACAACTCGGAACCGAGTAAATTTCCAAGTTCTGTGCTGGACATTGAACGGATTGAACACAATTTATACAGGTAAGCTTGCTCGGAAAAGTCAGGTCTAGACTGGCTCATATAAACGGGCAGCGATTTGCAGGGTTTTTACGATACAGTGACCTTTTGGAGGAAGGGGGTGTAAGAAAAGAATTTGTATAATTTTTGTTGGAACAATATTTAGTTACTTAAATGCAGGTATTGATTGCAATGGGTAAAAAACCGAAACAAAAGAAGGGGGGAACAATTTTCAGTTAATCGGTTAGATTCTACAGGAAGAACTCTGCATTAGATCATCACAATACGGGCGATTCACAATAGTGCGTCTCCAAAGTTTGCAACGCGTTGGCCAATCACAACACGTGAAATTTGTCGACCCTTTCCAAACGCGCGTTGGGTCGACCTATTTCGCTCATTCTGATTGGCCAACGCGTTGTAAACTCTTGGAGGCGCACTAATGTGAAATGCCCGTATTTTCAAGTGTTAGGCCTATAAACTCAGCTAACTTTTAAAAGCGGCACTTGTGTGAAGCCAGAAGGGTTTACCGCGGAGGCTAAAATGAATGTTTTAACTTCAGAGCCTCAGACCACTGGGGAGAGTTTGAATCCAAGCAGCTGTACGGAGGGCTGGTGGTCTCTCAGGCCTTGGTAGCTGCTAGCAAAACGGTCCAGCCAGAGCTTAACATCAACTCATTGCACTGTTACTTTACACACAAAGGTAGGCTAAGAGCTCCTCATTTAGAAAATCTCACCAACCAACAAATAACCAGCAAATGATAGACTGACCAACCAACCGATAATTTTTTTTTCAAAATCAAAAAACCTGAAAAATAAGATGAAATCCGCGTATGTTAAGGGGTCATCCACCTTTGTCACCCTTTTCACTAGCGTCCAAAAGGTACGCAGGAGGATGATTTGCCCAATTTTCCCAAGTTAAAAAGCTTAGTTATATAGGTTATAAACCCCTCCCCTCCCATAATGTACATTTGAACGCTTGTGAAAAGGACGAAAGGAAAGATGAACTCCTCAGTAACATACTATATAAACCTGCATGGATTTATAATCTAGGACTGTCCTAATTCTAACACACAGTGTTTAATGAGGACAAATGTAGTGCAAGAGTGCAGTCTCACAGCACTTCAGTTAGGCATGGGTACCGGTATGTGCTTTCTTTGAGATTAATCAGGGTTTGAATTTCAAAATATTTCCTATTTTACTCCTCAGGGAATCCGCAAGTCCCTGTTCTGTATCGGGTGGAGAGCCTTCGCGATGGGCGGAGCTTCTCCACGCGAACCGTCCACGCCATACAGAATGGACAGACCATCTTGGTCATGATAGTGTCCTTTCACGCCAAGGAGGAGTCTCCTTTTAATCACCAGGCCACCATGCCACAGGTCCCCCTCCCGGAGAACCTGCTGAGCGTCAGTGATCTGGTCGATAAATATTTTAGGTAAAAAAAAAAAGAAACAGGACCTAAACTGCAAACTTGGGTCGTAATCTCTTCAAAGGTGGCAAACGACTGATGGTATTGAGTATACCCCCATTTAATGTTTTTGTCATTTAATTGTAAAAAGCTTTGAATTCTGAAGCAATTTTTCGTAGAAATTACCGACGTCTCAACGGATGTTGTGGATGACTTTTTTGTTACACTGAAATCGGCATGGAAACTCCCTTTAGTTACGAAAGTATGTCCAAACCCTCAGCGGCTGATTCTACAGGTACATGTACAGGGAACTGTGTTATGCAGTACAGTGAGGGTTATTGGTTGGGGAACTGATTTTAAATCGTTGGTTTTCACTGCTCTGTGCCTCTGTTGTTTTTCAGCGCTGTGTCTGAGGAGGTGAAAACCAAGATTCGCCGCATCGATGGGTCTGGCAGCATGTTAGAGTACAGGCACGTAGATGCCAAGGCAGTCTTGATGAGACAGACACCAGCAGACCCAAGATGTCTCGTCTGGGTTCGAGTCAAAGGAACACTAGGTAAAATATCATTAATATCCCTCGCAGACATTTTTAATAAGTATTGATGACCGAGTATGTTAGTTCAAGAGTGATTATATTTTAAACCCTAATTCCTGGGATGTGTGGGAAATTATACTGAAATATCTAACACTTTAGACAATTAAATTATCAATGTAGCACTACTTTGAATAAAAATGTTCTGACAGAGAGATTGTCATCATAAGGCCAGGTGGAAAAAATTGATAAAGCACTTGTGTGTTATTGCGGAGGGTCACGGGTTCAAATCCTACTCAGATCTTTTTTTTTTTTGTCGAAGATTTGTGTCCAGCTGATCATGCACCTCCACCTCCACTGTGCTTTCCATGTTATCTTAAAAAAAACCCTCAAAATATTCATTCAAACTATTTGTTCAGCAATGTAGTCTTATTGCTTTCGGAGAGCCCAATCACAACCTTGCCCATGTGTGGATTCGAACCCACATCCCCTGCATTTTTAGTGCAGACATCCTTCATGTCTACCAAGTTTGTTATCATTCCATTTGATTTATTATTTTGTAGGTAAAAAAAATCTGTACATTCAAATCACAATGAAAAGATTCTGAAAAACTTTTCAAAATACATGAATACACCGTTTTGTACAAAAAGTGAACACAAACACACAAGTCATTCAGAAACAGGACTAAAAAGGGTCTCCTGGCTGACTTGCATCCAATTTGTTAACAGGCACTGCAGACAACATATATGTTGTCATATTTATTAAACTACGTTTATTTCACAAATGTGAAACATTTATGTACACTTTAAACATGTGATTTATTGTGGAAGGCAATCCAAACAGTGTAGCTGTACCTACACCACACAATTCTGGTTCGAAAGCATGAAGGTGGTGCGCTGTCAACAGAACCCGTCAGCACACTGCATTGTGGGAAAAAGTCAAAACGCCCTCTCTGTCACAAAGTGAATGCGCGTAGCTCTAATACCATTGTATTTTATCCACGCTTTCACAATCTGATCTCGCAATTTCCCTCCTGGGCACCAGATGTGACGCCGTGATCGTACCTAAATTTCTTCAGTTGCATGCCTGTGTTACCTGGAAATTGTGGGGAACTTGCACTACAGATAGGCCTACTTTCAGTAAATTGAGGATCTTTGGAGGAGAAATCATGCAAAATCGATTGAATAGACTCAGACGCCAATTCAAGATCTCGATAACAAAAAGGACAAAAAATTATTTATAGAAATAGCAAGGGGGTGATGCAGTGGCTTACACTGAACCGTTAAACCATTGAAAAGTCACCAAGATTTACTAAAACCAGAAATTTAAAATCCAAAATGTAAACCCCTAAACCAACACAGTGTGTGTCGTAAATGAATGAATTTGAAAGCACTCTGACTTCAATCAATGACTTCAGCAGACAGGACTCAAGCAGAAGACCACACAATACAAGAAACAATACGTGTACATGTATGGTCTGCTTATATGGTGAGTGTAGCCAGACTGCAAATGGAGCGCTAGGGCTTACATTAACAAACAGGAAGATTCAAAAGGAAAAAGGAACTGTAAACTGAACTTTTCCTATGTCAAACTGCATTTAAAATCTAAACAACACCTGGCTTTGTCACTCTTGACGGGAATTATCTCACCCGCTGGATGCATGCCGACTTCTGTGCGTGGTACAGCTGGTGAAACATCACCGAATTACTGATGTCAACGCACGAGCTTGAAAGAACAAAACAAAGCAAAACAAAACAAACAACGTCAGGGGATACAGTTATTGCTGGGGCTGCACAGTATTGTGAATCAATCCTTTTAGTCAAAGTACATGTACATGTTTCCCTGCATGATCACTCAATGTCTTCATTTAGGTGGGGACGAGAGAGTTCACCGTTGTGCTGCAGCCTACATATCTGATGTCTTCCTGGCCTGGACAGCTTACATGCCCCACAGGCATATTCGAAAGGGTCTGATTGCCTCCCTGGACCATTCCGTTTGGTTTCACGCGCCCTTCCGCGCCGACGAATGGATGTTGTACGAGATAGACAGCCCCAAGACCGGTGAGTTGAAGACCATTTCCCCGGCCAGGAATACATTATTGTGGTGGTACCATGGTCTTGGGCCGGTGGTACGCGTGTTTGGTATGTCCCGAAAGCCAAAAAGTTCTGTTTCAGCAGTGTATTTTGCTGTATATAAGTGGAAATTTGCTATAGGCTATTACCACGATGATCCATCCCTTCCTAGCAATTCGATCAAACCAACCCGTGATCAAATACTTGCGGGCGAACGCATTATCGAGGCTGAGAAAATGCAGATATGTGTCAGACCGACCCACCTTTGGACAGCGTTATGGAAATGATGTCTTATTTTCCGCCAACAGGTGCGTCCCGTGGCATGAGTTTCGGCCGTCTTTGGCGGCGCGACGGGACGCTGGTCGTTTCCACCTCACAAGAGTGCGTCATGAGACCGAAGCTGTGATCAACTTTAGTGAAATACATAATCTTAAGTTATTACTGCAATGCGTGCATTATGATCGATGTAAGCCAGAGAAAGATTGGCCATGGGCCCAGAAATTTCAAAATGAAACATCAATGGTATTTAAATAGGAAGGACGACAGAGGGACTCTATCGCGCTTAATTTTAATGTTTGGTTTGCTTTAAATGTTTACGTATTCTCACAGGTTTGAATATGTCATCTGCCGTAGGCCTAGTCATTACAAGCACATAGAATGTCAATTTTTAAATGACGCTTAAGATGATTTCAGTGACAATGTGTTGAAGTCAACACCAACAATAAAATAAAGTCTCCAATTTTGGATTTTTTTTTTTGGCAAAAAGGAACTTTTATATTTTTTAAGAATATCAGGCTGGTAGCACAGGGACCCCAACATGGGAGTTTAAAGTCGACTTTACCACCGAGTACGTGGCGTTGGCAGCACTATCCCCTTCCCCATCGAAATTTGGGACTTCATCAAATATCCTTTTCAATTAGGCAACTGGTGCCGTGTGGCTTTACTGACTTCTGTTATGGATACGGTTACACCGGTTACCAACAGGCGTGTGCTGGAAAAACCTCGGATGCCGTGGTTTAATCAGTCAATTGCACATGAGCGAATACTCCTCCGGCGAGCTGAGCTGAGCGTCGCTGGATTAAATCGAGACGAGCTGAAGACGATAACACTTACCTTTCCGTTCGCAATGCTTTAAAATATGCAACATGCCTGACGGCTACTTACGCCTCTTATCATAGATGTCGCATTGAGGGTGCGGACACGAAAACGTTGTTCCGCATTGTCGATGAGATCAGTGGTACTAAGAGGGCATTAGCATCTGTCATACCTGATAATATCGATATTGAATTGCTACCGGATGTGTTTTTGCAAATTTTCTTAGAAAGACAATTATCGATCTTCGTAAGAATCTTCCTGATATTAAACTGAACGATATTTCAGGATTAAATCCATGTTCATTTGGCAGTTTTGAAACATTTTCCGAGGATACAGTTATATCAATGATCAATCATTTTCCAGCTAAATGTTGTCAACTTGATCCTATGCCAACGTATCTTTGTTGACTGGTGTAATTAATTCATCATTTAATACTGGTATTTTTCGTACATTTTGTAAGAATGCTATTGTCCGTCCGTTGTTCAAGAAACGCGGGCTTGATTATAACGTTTTCAAAAATGATCGTCCTTGTCTCGTCTTTGCCATTTGTCTCGAAACTTATTGAAAAGTCGGCTTTATTACAGTTAAATGATTATCTCTCTCAAAATAAAAATTGTTCTGTAAAGGTCAATCCGCCTATCGGGAGGGTTACAGCACGGAAACGGCCCTAGGTAAAGTTCAGAATAATGTGTTGTGCTCTCTCGCTAGACAGTCTGATGTGTTTTTGATTCTTTTGGATCTTCCAGCTGCCTTTGACACCATCGATCATCGGATTTTAATTCATAGGTTGCGGAATAGGTTCAACATTGAGGGTTCTGTGATTAATGGTTGTCGTCGTACCTGTGTAATAGGACGCAGCGTGTTAGGGTTCGATCAATGGCGTCCGAGGCATCACCACCGGAATGTAGGGTTCCACAAGGCTCTGTCCTTGGGCCGATTTTGTTTAGTCTCTACATTACTCCGTTAGCAGACATTATTGATGAGAATGGTTTGGATTGTACGATGTACGCTGATGACATTCAGCTGTATGTTACGTGCGGTTGTGCAGGGGTGCCAATGGGGTAGATAGATAACTGTATTGAAGACGTTCGTTTGTGGATGAGAGACAATAAGCTTGTTTTGAATGAAGGGAAAACTGAAGTGATAAAGCTTTCATCTAAGTTTGGTCCGGTTACCACGCCACTCCCACGTGATATACGGCTGGCTGGTGTTGACATTTTTCTTTCTGATAGTATTTGTGATCTGGGAGTGACTTTTGATAAGGCAAACACCATGTCGCCTCATGTGGCAAAGTTATGCAGGTCTGCATCTCATGCTTTACGAAGAATCGGTAAAATTCGGCATTTGCTTGACCAAGCTTCGACTGAAAAACTGGTACATGCCTTTGTCGTCGCGACTTGATTATTGCAATGGCTTACTGTTTGGTATCTTGCAACAGCGTTTTAACTTGTTTTTTACTTTTCCCTCGGCTTTCCAAGGGAACCAATCAGCACTCGCTAAATTGCATGCATAATAAATTCCGATGACCTGAATAATACACCATGGTAAGGTCACATGCATAATGGCTGTCTGCAGTCCCGTCAACACAGACACGACAGAGGAAGAAAAATCGTATGCCTGTGAAAAACTAAACATTAAGAAGTTGAAACCCAAGCAGTCTGCAGCCATAGACGCTACACTAGATGGCAAGGACGTCTTTGTTCGCTTACCCACTGGCTCTGGTAAAAGTGTGATTTTTCAATCAGTGCCACTCTGCTTCGATTCCAGGAACAATTTTGTCTCAAAGTCTCTCGCTATTGTCATTGTACGTCTCAAATCATTAGCCTTGAACCAAAGTGAGCGACTGAAACCTTTGGAATTTATTCTTATATGTCACTTATCCCTTCCCACAAACAAGACACTATCGACAGGGTACTTGCTCACGTGAAGCCGCCATGTTGTTCGAACTTCGAAGTACATATACATAATTATAATACCAAGGCTATGAATATTTAGTACTTGGGGTCATTTGCATACAACTGCCGCACCCCCATTCCCGCAAGATTCCCAAGACGTTAGTGAGAGTAAGTAAAAACTTGTTGTGCGAGGGCGCTCTTCAACAGAAATAAAACAACAATCGATTACTAACGTCTTGGACCAAGACTACCACTCGCCAAACTGGCTTCTGGAATTTACTGCAAGAAAAAGGTTACTTAATTCATTCGAGCTATTAACAATTTGGTAGCATGGATTCAATGGAAAATAACAGCAATGAAAACTCCCATTAAGAATGTAGTCCAATGAATTTCTTGGCCATATCGCACACTCAAGCTAGTGGTTTGTTACGAACTAGCGCCTTGCAAAACTCAAACACAGAAAATATGCTCAACAATTGGCCAATACATACTAAGAATTATTTACATTATTTTATTTAACAAAATAAACCACATAAAACAAAACAACGGGCTTGCATTAACGAGATTAAAAACGGCCATGCCAAGCAAAACAAAATTAATAAAGCGGCCATGCATAAATAACGTTAAAGTAACAACTAATAAACACAACTCGGCCAAGCAAAGGAAAACATTAATACAGAACAATAACTTTAACTTACCAAAAAATACAGACCGCTGCCCGGTCGGTACAGAACGGTGAGCACAGACATCAAGGCCGCACCCCCTGGACAGGACCGCCACACCAGCACGGACGCCAGCACCAATCACCACCGGTAGCCCACAGGTAGAGCCAAGCAGCAACGCAGCCTTCTTCGGGACAGTGGTGCGGACCTCAACCTGCACTCACGCACAGACACCATAACTGACACCGACCGAGGCCGAGCAGCCCGCTATTAAGCCTTAAATGCAGAATGAGACATTCCATACGAACAAAAAGAATCATGCAGCTTTCGCATACAGCAAACGGGAACAAAACTAGTGAGAGTAGAGGCGTTATATAACAGGTTCAATCAAGTAAAAAAGTGCCATTCTCATTTTACTTTTAGAAGGCACCCATCAGAGCCAGCACTAAAATTACAACTGCGTGACCAGTAAAAATTACACACTCATAAAAGTTCAGGAAATATACAGGCATGGCTGACATGGGGAACGAGGTACATAAAATAATGCATGTACACTGTAAACAGAGAGAAGCTGATGAAATTTACCTTTACTTTGACAACATAACACATAAGTTGTATTCTGAGCAGTCTATCTCGGCAATCAAAATAGGTAATTAAATCAACTCAAAAGACACGTTGCATCCGCCGGCACCCAATCGTGATTCTTCAACATGTAAGCATGTGCTCTGGCCATCATGAGCACCGAGCTGGACCAAGAGATGACACTATTTTGTTAGCAACAGAAGCTCCTTTGGTCGAACTGAATTCGAACGTTGCTGTTTCACAAACGACTGGGATATACACACGTTGCGATCATATCGCTACCAACAAACTGAGCACTCCCGACCAACATGCATATGGCTCGTGAGTTAAAAGCTTTCCATGGTGAAGGTGGCAAGTTAGATAAACAGGTTTGCGGTAGCACCATGCAAGGATACCTCTTTTGAGTAAGTGTGGATCTGAAAAGAAGCGAGGGTGCTCAATGTTTCGGACAGTCTGCTCAGTCTGTCGTCAGGAGACTGCAGAACTTCCAATGATGAGGCAGTTTATATAATGCCTGGAGGCCGTGCGGTGTGGAGAGGATGCTAACTTGGCACCCCAAGACATCGGTTTCAACATCAGCAACATTTGGCGTTCCATCCTCATATCCCAGTCCAATGGGGCTCCTGTAGGCTACCCTATATATAGGACAAGTCCACAGCCTATGAGTCTCCTATACTCTTGGCAACCTTCCCCCAAGCTCCCCTCCTTCAGACTGACACACCTCACTGATCTGCTAGAATCCCTCGTTCCGCTCGAGTGCCCTTGGTTGGATCCTCAGTTAGCATCCTCTCTACACCCCACCACGTCCGGACATCATATTAACTGCTTCTCCATCGAGTGACATGGGGGGGGGGTTGCTTCTGCTCAAGGCGGATGCAGATTACCCATTACTATCCACTGGAACGTATGCAAGGGAGTACCCCTCCCTTAAGTGACGTCACACGGTAAGTAAAGAGAATGCAAAGAATCTCTACTAAGCAGGAGTCACTCCACCCTAAACCAGAGCTGTTCATAGAGAGTGGCGACACGGGTGTCTCAATTGTTGGAACTGACATGGTGGATTATGTATCAGTGCACAGAGCAAATAAAAATATTTATTCTTCTGTGTGCCAAATAATTTCATTTACACATGGCCTGTCTTTGAAATTGTACGGACGTCTGTGTTCGTAAAGGATGTTACCGGCCTTTTAATTCATTGGTTTTTCATAACAGCGTCTTTTTGATGTTCTACAATAGCTGCGTGCTGTACTTTACACAATCACATGAAACAGCCATTTTGATTCTAAAGTTGGCGCTACTGTCTCTATATACACCAATGCTCTAAACTACTCAGCAACATTTACAAAGTCCAGGTATGTACATTGTATATAGGCCTTTGGCAGGGTCGGCGTTCACCCGACCGTTTGTAGAAACTAGTCTTCAAAGATCCAGCAGTCCTGTCTGACAGCTTGGCTTACGTACTGTGCACATGAGTCCGACAACCAGCGAACGATCGTCACAGAACAGTTTGTGTGAACGTCAACATGACACGTCCATGTCTCCACAAAGATACAAATTTCGGTCGAAACATGCCAGATGGACTTGACTAAGTCCTGCACATGCTCTCCCCCGATTATTTTTAGATGAAGGATATGCGCTGAGTTATCCGTAACACAAAAAGAGAAAATATTGTAGGTAATAATGAACACAAATGATCATGTTTTTACAGTGCAAATAAAACGTTTTCTGTTTTGCTCTATTTTTTACGCGAAAACAAAGTGTCCAGAACACCTATATAGATTTGTGGCATAGACGTGCGCGCTGAGTATGGTTGACAGTGAACATGGCGAGGATTCATCCAACCAATAGAATGCTGAACCTATTCAGAACTGTGGTTTACCACTTTGCTCCAATGGTGATAGTTCATGATCTTGGGAGAAAAAAAACAAGGCTGTCCAGTCTAATCCATCGCAAGTCACCCAGCCCCATTTTGAATGACCTGTGACAGAAAGATTCCTTGCAGAAATAAGGAAGAAAAAACACTGGTTTCAGAAAAAGTACCAGGTTTAAACATCACTGAACATAATATAGCTTGTAACACAAACTCTTCAGAAGTTGGTGACACTTCCCACAATGGAGGATTTCCCGGACAGAAATTAAAAAGTGAACACTATACTCACTCAGCTAACTGTAATTACATTTTAAACTTTACAAACCTTTTGGCAATTCTCATTGTTCCGTCTGCCGTTTTTAGTTGCTCAGAGTTAGGTGGTTTCGACTCGCTTAGTTATCAAAGCGTCATCCCCAACATCGAGCCACACCTGACCCCCGATCCTCTCACAGCAATCGTTGCTACCGAGAGACTCCATCACAGACTGTTGAAGCTCCTTGGGCGCCGTCTGCTTGAAGTGCGCGATGGTGGTGAGGAAATCCGTCAGCAGTTCCCCCTCCGCTGAGGCTTCGTCGAAGCACTCCGTGATGTTTAGGCGCCTGGGAATTGGAAGTTGAGTGTACCAGGTGCCACGGCGGTCAAAGAAACTTCGCACGTCGGCCGACGATCGCCTTGTGGTAAACAGAGGGCATTTGCCATGAACAGATTGCAACCGATTCTGGAAACGACCACGACCACTGGCATCTGAGTCAAAAGTGTAAATGATCAAACCTGCAAATGTAAGGAATCAGTATGTTGGTCCTACGTGCTCTAATTGATCGTTGTAAAGTTGTTAAAAATAACGGGGAAATATTACCAAGCTATTCACCTTCAACTGCTGTTCGCACTAATCAAGCTCACCTGATGACAAACTAACCAGCATAACTCCACCACGTTCCAAACAATCGTACAGGTAAGTCAACGAGCTATCCAAGTCGTCCACATGGTACAGGCAGTGAATCGTGCTGATGAAATGAAACTTTTTCAACTCTCCCGCCTTTTGGTATTGCTCAATCGTCTGCTCCCGCCAATCGCAGGTCACGCCGCGTAGTTCGCGAGCCTTGGATTGCACCAAAGCCTTGTACTTCTTTAACTCTTCTTGATCTGGCTCAACTACACGGTTATTGATGCGCGGGAATCGTTGCAAAAGCTTCCTCAACATTGCATAATCGATCATACCTTAGTAAAAAAGAAGCAAAACGATAGAAGCCCTGTTGTGCCATCAAGAAGAAATTTTCAAAAAATTAAGCATAATTTTTTTCCGCTAATCCATTTTTATGAGAATTTTTTTCTTTTTTTAACAAGTATATATATATATCAATAAATATGTTTGTTGTATAAGATATATATTCTCCAATTTGTTCTTGTAAGATTTATATTTACATATATTGTTTCTATATTTGGAAATCGTTTTTATCAGATACCCTATATAAAAATTAAACTTGAAAATTTATCTATATATGTATCTCTTGAAACTCAACTTGGAAAAACATTCCATATAAACAAAGTTAATGAAAAATACATCTCGTCAGAATAATTTGTTTCCCCCAAAAGTTTCTCAAATAGATTTCATAAGAACCAATTGGAGAATATAATCATGTCGTGCAAACGACAATAATGTCATAAAACTGGGCTTTCGTATAAAACAGACAAGCTGCTGCATGTAGGATCTGTGCCCGATTACAGGAAGCGCTTTGTATTACCATATACCATTGGGCCATGCAATATTCCCCGCAGAAAGCGGCCAACTAAATTCGTGACTCTAAAATACCCACCAGATCCACTGCCTACTCCGAGTACCTGCAGCTCTTCCTGTCCGTCCAGTGTAGTTTGGAGTTGACAGACGACCGCCTCGCTGAACACTTTGTCCACCCAATCGGAGTACTCACTGAATTTCGCAGACCGGGAACAGAAAATTTCGTACGACTTTCCCAAGCGGTCTGGGCAATCGTAAAGACTCGGCAGTAGAATTGACTCCATCGCTCCTTGTAGTTTGTGCTTCAATCTTTCTGGACAGTTTGCGAATACATGTAAGTGATTCAACCACTTCAATCCAAATCCAGGATCAGCAGCGCTATTTATAAAGAGAGTTGCGACATGAGTGACGCGGTGGTTGGCACCAAAATGGTGGATTATTCGTCAGTGCACATTGACCGCTAGCGACATGCTAAACTGCACACATAATGAGCAGCCATTTTGGTTCTTAAGTCCAAAGTACATGTACATGTATACTCTGTGGGTGCACTGTCCAATTCAAGGGAAATTCTTCGGCAGATCGAGGCGCTGAAAAAGTACCCCTGCAGTTTATTTGAAAAAGAGGAGATTGTGTGGCCCAAGAATTAGTGGGATTGTAAAAGAATGGCCCAAAATAAACTCCCTAGATTCAAGGGTTCCCATCCCAGGGC